ACCTTCACACTTGACTCAGGTGCTTCCTGATGTTTCTTTCGTGTCAATACCACAGTCACACCGCTCTCTGCACCTGTTGCTGTCTCTTTGGCTGACCCCTCTGGGGGTTCAGTCCTTGCACGTTCCTCCACTATTCTGCCTTGTCCGGCGGTTCCGTCTGGGTCACTGTTAGGTCTCCACCTCCCCTCGTTCTCTACGAACTTGGTGAGCACTGCTGACCTCCAGGATGCGGGGGTTGACACCTTCAACCCTGGACGACAGCGTGTGGCGATCTGTACGTGCTCCCGGACCGGCCGCCACCTGGCCACATTCACCCGTCGGCCTGGGTCGAGTCTGTACACACTGACTACTGCGCCTCTTCAGGTCGCTGCGTCTGCGTCAGGTCAGCTTGCGGCCCCCTGCTCGTGTCGCGCCCTGTCGCACCAGACGCTCCTTTGGCACCACCGCCTTGGTCACCCCTCTACGGCACGCCTCCGTGGCATGCACTCCCGTCTCCTTGTCTCTGGTCTTCCCAGGTCTCTGCCTCCCCTCCCACCCTCGCCTGCCCCTCCCTGCCTTCCCTGTGTCAAGGGGCGGCAGCGCGCTGCTCCTCACTCCTCCTCATTCCATTCGACAGAGGCTCCCCTGCAGACTCTCCACCTGGACGTGTGGGGCCCAGCCCGCGTCCGTGGACAGGGCCACGAGCGGTACTTTCTGCTGGTTGTCGACGACTACACGTGTTACACCATGGTCTTCCCCTTGCGCCGCAAGGGGGAGGTCCCTGATGTTCTGATCCCTGGGATCCGCGCTGTTCGTCTCCAGCTCCACGAGCGGTTCGAGACGGACCTTCCTGTCCTGCGTCTGCACTCTGACAGAGGTGGTGAGTTTTCCTCTGACCTCTTGCGGACCTTTTGTCGTGCGGAGGGCATTCACCAGACGTTCACGCTTCCGGCCTCTCCACAGCAGAATGGGGTTGCTGAGCGCCGCATTGGCTTAGTCATGGAGGTCGCTCGTACCTCCATGATCCATGCGGCGGCTCCCCATTTTCTCTGGCCGTTTGAAGTCCAGTACGCTGCGCATCAGCTCAACCGCTGGGCCCGTGTCTCCTTGCCAGAGACCTCGCCCACACTGCGTTGGACAGGGGAGGTTGGCGATGCGTCAGTGTTCCTGGTCTGGGGATGTCGAGCCTTTGGCCGCGATACATCTGCGGACAAGCTCTCCTCCCGCGCCGTTCCCTGTGTCTTCCTTGGCTTTGTCCCTGACGCGCCTGGCTGGCAGTTTTACCACCCCACCTCGCGCCGTGTCCTGCCCTCTCAGGACGTCACGTTTGACGAGTCGGTTCCCTTTTACGGTCTCTCCCCTACCGCACTGCCCCTCTCCCTCCCCCGCCGCTCTTCCTCGCACCAGGTCCTCCTCTGGTAGACCCCCTCCCCCCTCAGGGTCCTGCTCCCTCAGGTGTGTCCCAGGTAGACCCTGTCAAGCCTGTCGAGGTAGCTGTCGACTCTGGTGCTGCTAGAGGTGCTGCGTCTGGGGGTGCTGCGCCTGCGGGTGCGGGGCCTGGGAGTGCTGCGCTTGAGCGTGCTGAGCCTGGGGTTGCTGAGTCTGAGGGTGCAGAGCCTGGGGGTGCTGAGCCTGAGCGTGCGGAGCCTGGGGGTGTTGAGCCTGGGGGTGCTGAGCCTGGGGGTACTGAGCCTGGGGGTGCTGAGCTTGAGCGTGCTGCGCCTGGGGGTACTTTGTCTTCTGGAGGTCCTCCGAGTGTCTTGTCCCATCGGGAGACGCTCTCTCCACTGCAGTTGCGCGAGTGGTTTGCTCGGCGCTGCAGCCTCCAGAGTGGTGTTGCTGGAGCTGGAGCTGCGGGAGGTGCTGGAGCCCCTGGTCCCAGAGGTGCTCGTACTGGAGGTACTGGAGCTGCTGGGGCTGGAGGTGCTGCTGGAGCTGGAGCTGCTGGAGGTACTGGCAGTACTAGAGCTGGAGGTGCTGCTGGAGCTGGAGCTGGAGGTGCTGCAGGAGCTGGAGCTGCTGGAGGTGCTGCTGGAGCTGGATCGTACTGGAGGTACTGCAGCTGCTGGGGCTGGAGGTACTGCTGGAGCTGGAACTAGAGGTGCTGCTGGAGCTGGAGCTGCTAAAGGTACTGGTGCTGTCGGTGCTGGTTCTGGAGGCACTGAGCGACCGCGACCGTACTTTGTTCCCTTGCTTCAGCAGGTTCTTGGTCTCCCGCCTTCTACTGACCTTCCTCCTCCCTTATTGTGTCCACCGCCTGAGTCTGACTCCCTTTGTGCTTCTAGTCCTACTGTTACGCGTCTCCTGGGCACTGTTGTCACTGACCCTTCCTTTGAGTCTACTGCTGCGTGTGCTCTTGTTGCTGAGCTGGTTGACTTTGCCGACGCCTGTCGTCTAGACTACGCCGCTAGTCTACTGCTGCGTGTGCTCTTGTTGCTGAGTCTGAGTCTGTCTGTCTTCCGTCCGTCGGGGGTGTGTGTGCTCTTCGCACGGACATCCTTGAGGACAGGCAGGAGGAATTTGAGTGTTTTGCAGCTGCTGTACCTCATCTCGTGTCCATGCTGATTGCACCTGAGCTAGACCCGGATGCACCAGACATCCCGACCCCGCGCTCTTACGCAGAGGCGATAGAGGGTCCCTACTCCTCTCAGTGGCAGTCAGCCATGGACACAGAGATGGCATCCTGGAAGTCCACAGGCAACTACATCGACGAGGTTCCCCCACCTGGGGCGAACATCGTCAGTGGCATGTGGATTTTCAGGGTAAAGCGGTCGCTGGGTTCTCCGCCTTTCTTCAAGGCGCGTTACGTTGCACGAGGCTTCAGTCAGCGACAGGGAGTTCACTTCTTTCAGACCTTCTCCCTTACCCCGAAGATGAACACTCTTCCGGTACTACTACACGTCGCCGCTCAGCGTGACTACGAGCTTCACTCTCTTGACTTCAGCACTGCTTTCCTACAGGGCAGCCTGCACGAGGAGATCTGGCTGCGCCGCCCACCTGGCTTCACTGGGTCGTTTCCTCCTGGTACCCAGTGGAGCCTCCGGCGGCCAGTCTACGGTCTCCGCCAGGCGCCTTGCGAGTGGCATGACACACTGAGGACGACTCTTGCGGCTCTTGGGTTTGCTCCTTCGACAGTTGGCCCGTCGCTGTTTCTACGCACCGACACTTCGCTGCCGTCGTTCTAGATCCTCGTGTACGTCGACGACTTAGTCTTTGCCACTGCTGACACTGCTGGACTGGCCCACGTGAAGTCGGGGCTGTAGAGGAGACACACGTGCACAGACCTGGGTGAGCTATGCAGCTATCTTGGCTTGCAGATCACTAGGAACGGAGCACAGCGCACCATTACCTTGACTCAGTCACACATGGTGCAGCAGGTCCTTCAGCGCTTCGACTTCCAGTACTCCTCGCCACAGGCCACTCCTCTGCCTACCGGTCACTCGCTCTCAGCTCTGCCTTCAGATGAGTCCGTAGAGCCGAGTGGCCCGTATCCAGAGCTTGTAGGCTGTCTCATGTACCTGATGACCTGCACTCGACCTGACCTTGCTTACCCTCTTAGCATCCAGGCACGCTACGTTGCGCCCGGGAGACACCGACCAGAGCACTGGAAGGCCGCTAAGAGGGTGATGCGCTACTTGTGCAGTACGTCGGGCATGGGGCTCGTGCTTGGAGGACGGGGTCGAGTTGTCCTCACTGGTCACGCAGACGCTTCTTGGGTTGACGACTTGGCCACGCAGCGGTCGTCACAGGGTTACACCTTCAGCCTTGGCTCCGGTTCTGTTCCGTGGTGGTCCACCCGCTCGTCTTCTGTTCTCAGCTCCAGTTGTGAGGCTGAGATCTACGCTGGGGCCATGGCTGCACAGGAGTTACGCTGGCTTACCTACTTGCTGACCGACTTGGGAGAGCCGCCTCGTTCTCCTCCAGTTCTGTACGTCGACAACAAGGCCATGATTGCCTTGTGTCAGTAGCACAGACTGGAGCACAGAATGAAGCACATCGCTCTGCCTTACTTCCTCGCTCGAGAGTTGCAGCAGCGTCGTCAGCTTCGTCTTGTTTACGTGGCCTCTCAGGCCAACACTGCTGATATCTTCACCAAGGCACTTCAGCCTTGTGATCATCAGCGTTTCTGTACTGTTCTAGGCCTTGTGCCTACTTTGCCTCACTTACTCATTATTGACTTTGCCTGTACTGTGATCTATATACTTAGGGTACATTCCGCTGTGGAATGTGTCCCAATCGATGTGTCCCAATCCCTTTTTGGCCGAGTCACGCCCAAATTTCTCGATCCTGCATGTCCCAATCGACTGATGTATTGCGACGCTGGGCATCAACGCGACAATTATATACGACACATTGTGATTGGTCAATGTCCAATCTGGCACGTACCAACACCAACAGCTCAAACACCGGCGATCCAGACCCGCGGAAGGGATCTGGTTCTGTACGGGGAGGGCGCGGACAGTACAGTACATCTCCGCGCTACCAATAGTTGCCAAAATGGCAAGTACGTTCACTACTATCCTACGCAGTCAGTATGTTTAATCCAAGTATGCACATACAACATAACTACGCATTCACAACCCACACAACATGGCAGAGCCAAAAACCATACCCTTCATCCTACGCCTCCTCGTCGCATGGGTCACCTACTACTACACCGTTTTCTACGAAAACGTCGCGAAGTCCTTCGTAGGCCTGATAGAGTCGGGAGTGTTCGAGGACGATAACGAGCAGTCCTCATCGCTCGGGGACGATTACGGGGAGAACCGCCGACACAGAGCGAGAGTACGGCGGCGACGTCATGCATTGTGGGTTGAAGACCTGCAGCACATGCGGGAGAACGATTTCCAAGACCTTTTCACGATAATCCGCGACATACTTGAGCATATCAAAACCGCGGCGAAAATGGTGCTCTCCTTGTCAGACCATAAGCCGCGCTCGACAGGTGCTGCCGCCCGTTTCTTCCACGGCTCCGGGCGCGCTGCAGGTTGCGCAGCCTTGCCGTTGCCCTTGTCATACCCTTATTTGCGTGCGGCGCTCCGTTTCGGCGGCTGAGCGACAGGCTGTGCTTCCTCCGGGACGTCCTCCTCGGCATCCTCATCGTCGTCGTCGTCTTCGTCTTCGTCGCTGGGCGACATTCCCTGGTCTTCGGGCTCCTCCACCTCGTCATCGGAGTCACCCCCTTCTTCGCGGTCGTCGGCGTCAGGGTCGTCGTCGTATTGCTCCACGACTGGCCGGTGCGTTGCTGCCGTCCTTGCAGGCTGACGGCGCACACGTGACGGGGCCGCTGTGGGCGACTGTGCAGCGGATCCCTGGCCGTCAAGCACGGGCGGCGCGGATAATCCCCTAGGATGGCGACCGTTGGCGATCTGCTGGTTCATCCAGCGGATGTACGGAATGTCGTTTAGATCCGAGGGGCAGTCGTTAAGGGCCTGCCCCTTACGCTTACGAGCCATGCTGGCGTGTAGAAGGTGTCTAGATCTAGATCTAGAGGGAGCGGAGGCTGTGAGAGAATCACAGATTGGTACTTTGCAGCTGTTGCACAAACTTGACCTAGCAAGGGATGGGGAGGCGGAGGAGTTGTGGGGGAGGTGCATTGGAACTGGGGGAAGGCGCAATGCCGGGGGGGTGCGCGTCCCTGTCAATAATTCTGGAAAGGTCGTTTCGACCAATGGGCACGCTGTGTACGCGTTGATGGGGATAGAGTGGGCCCAAAAATGTCGTCCAGATACATGCTGCATGATAGGACATTTGGGGCCGCGTGCGATTGGATGGGTGTGTTGTAATTAGCTGGCGATTGTTCCGTGATACACGCCACCCAATGATAAATACAGTCGGTGACAACCACGGGCGGCACGGCATTCCGACAACTGGCAGCATATGCTGTACGTACGCGTCTCAATCGATTGGGACACAACGATTGGGACATATTCTACAGCGGAATGTACCCTTATACCTGCATGCTTACACTTGCTAGGTTGTGATCACTGTACTGCTTGTTCTCCTATATATATAACTCTGCATGTGAACTGGCATTGTGGCCTTTTGCTTGTCAGTCCAGCGCATGAACGGGGTCCCTCACATGGGTCCAAGCGGGGGGTTAACGGGATGAAATTTCCGGGAACCTTCGTCCCGATACCCTCGCATTTAGGGTCCACAAAACGCGTACTCTACATAGACAGAGTCAGTAAGAACACTACTCTGGGACTAGTTATAATATTTCAGGGTTCGGTGAAGCACTATTTTGAATGGATCAGTGTTCACAAGTAAAAAATTCTGAAATTGCAGGGTCCACCAGGTGAGAAGCCTGTAATCACCTTGAAATCAGGGTAATTACCCTAATAAAATCAGCCCTGCTTTCACACCACAAGATTCGCCTTGACACAAAGATTCGCCCTGTCAGAGCATGTTATCCGGGAAATCCCCTTAGTCTAGCATGTTTCGGTATCAGATGAAACATTGAATACATTTCTGATGAAACATTGAATACCGTACATTGGTTTTGAATGTTCAAACTTTTTTTGAAAGACACTCTGAACTTTCAGCCTTTTTTTATTCCAACTCTGAGGGGTTTCAAACTAAACACTGTACTAGTCTGACGAATCAGACAAGCCAAAAACGAATCTGAGGTTCTGCTCAGTAGGATCGTTTTGTAATTTCTGATTCATAAGACAAGAAATGCTTGAAATTCTGATGCATAAGGAAATTTTAAAATTTCTGATAAATCAGACTGGCCCGAAGGGCCCCTCTGATGCATCAGGGGGGTTCAGGGACTAGCGAGGGCCCTGATGTGCATGTCGACAGGATTACGCTGTATATCCGTTAATGCACACATTTTCTTGGCAACAAGTGCCCAGCTACCAGTACTTGGCCAATGAGTGATTGATTGTGAAAGGCTGTCTTGGTGAAGAGAACCCAGACTCATCTGACCAGTTATTTACAACAGCCCCAATACCCAATGCGTGGCTTCCCCTCCAGGCCGTACACTGCCGCGCCCAAAAATCAGGGTAAAATACAGCGTACAGTATTTCAGGAGCCCCAATGCTCACATCATGCAAGCCTTGATTGCACCAGGCTGTGTGCTGTGCATGCTCATATGGTATGTGGTTGGGTAGGGGTTGCCATTCAAAATAAGATAGCCGAATCAGAAGACTGGTGTGATCAATGCTCTACTTCCAGGTGTGCTCCTTGTTGAGGGATTTGCGGTTTCGCTTGAGTGAGTAGGTGATGAGCGGCTCCTGCTCCACCGCACCACCTGCATGTACCTCACTGGACGAGCCATCGTGTGGCACAGCGGGGACGCCTCCTCCACCTCCACCCGCAGCGCCTACAACTCCCAATGCCCAAAGGGCTGTCTCGCTGTCTTGCGCTGCTGCATGCATCCCTGCCTCTCCACCTGCATGCGCCTCCCCCACTCGCTCCACCACTGCAGCAGCACCACTGCTGCCGTCATGCCTTGCAGGCTGTGCACTGCTGAGCACCGCCTGCCCTGCCCGCCCCGCATGCCCCGCATGCCCCGCATGCCCCGCAGCAGCCATCTGCCGCCGGTGCCACTCCTCCCACTCGTCCACCTCCCCTCTCCTCGTGCCCGCCCTCCCCTCCCCCACCTCATCGCCACCGCGCCCTGCCTCCCCCGGCACCCACCCCTCCCGCACTCCCATTCCATCCCCCGCCCTCCCCTCCCCACCATCCCGTGCGCTCATCGCGTGCGCCCCACCGCACCCCTCAGGCCGCACCAGCCCGCGGGCAGCAAGGATGGGAGTGCGCCGCAGGATGTCGTACATCGCCACCCCACGCGCCTTCCTGCGACTGCGCTCGCGCTTGCCCTGCGCCCGCCACCTCACCTCGCCCCCACCTTCCTCTCCCTCCCCTCCCTCCCCACCGTCCCCTCCCTGCCTCCCGTGTCCGCCCTCCCCAGCGCCCCCCTGGGTGCAGCCAGCACTGCCTGTGCGCGGCAGCGGCAGCGGGGCAGGCAGCGCCCCCTGGGGCACGCGTGGCGGGGATGCCATGCGCACCCACCTGCTCTGCACTCCCACATCCACACATACATGCACATCGCCTTGCCTCTGCTGCTGCTGCTGCTGCTGCTGCTGCTGCTGCTGCTGCTGCTGCTGCTGCTGCTGCTGCTGCTGCTGCTGAGGGCAGTGGGCGTGAGAGTGGGAGTGCATCTCGAGCCAACCAGTGTGACTCTCGCCTGGGCCCCCACGGTGCTCGCCTGGGCCCCCACGGTGCTCGCCTGCGCCCTCACGGTGCTCGCCCCAATCACTCTGCTCGTGCGCGGGGCACTCACTCTGCCTCTCAGCACTGTGCTGCGGCTCAGTAGCGCATGGATGCAGCGCAAGCACATGAAACGACTGAACCTCCTCATCCATCCCACTCTTGCTTCCCATAGCCCCACTGTGTTGTTGTGCTTTCTCTGCCGTTCCCCTTTGCTCCACCATCACCTCTTCCTGCATCCTTTCGCCCCTCTCCCCCCTCTCCTCTCTTTCCCCTTCTTTCCCCCTTTCCCCCCTCTCCTCCCGCTGTCCCCTTCCCCTTCTCTGCTCCCTGTCTTCCCTCGCCCCCCACTGCCCTCTCTGCATGGGCACAGCACCCCACGCCTGCCTTTCCCCACCCACGCCCACGTTGCCACGCGTAGGGGGCACGCAGGAGGCAGGTGGGTGGAAGGGGGGGACGGAGAGGGGAGGGGGAGAGAGGGGTGGGACGGGGGGCGGGGGGGCGAGCGCCCAGGGGGAGGGGGAGGGGTCAAGGTGGCCGTCGGAGGCGTCCAGGTCGACCAGGTCCCACACGCCGCGCGCCCCCCTGCCCACCGCCCTCGCCTCTCTCTCGCCCCTCTCGCCCCTCTCGCCCCTCCCTGCACCCGCACTGCCTCTCACCTCGCCGCGTGGGCTCGCCTCAGCTCGTCCCTCCTGCGCCAGGGGCAGCACAGGTGGCCCCGCGCTCACCTCCATGTGGGGCAGCACAGGTGGCCCCGCGCTCACCTCCATGTGGGGCAGCACAGGTGGCCCCGCGCTCACCTCCACGCGCACGGCGGCACACGTGTGTGGCAGCGCAGCAGCGGGGCAAGGCGGACCACCATGCGTGCGTGCCGTGCCCACTGCGCCCCCACTACCACCATGGCGGTGGCTGTGGGCAGCAGGCAGCGTGGGTGGAGGCGAGGGCGATGTGCGTGCACGCGTGCTACTCAGCACCGTGTCAGCTGCGCGTGCACAGGCGGTGGGAGGCGGGGCAGGGGTGGTGGCAGCGTGTGCTGGTGCAGGGGGCACGGGCACCATGGGCAGGGACGGACGCAGAGAGGTGGGCTCATCCAGTGGCGTGGCGGAGATGGCTGCACACACATGTGCCGCCCGCACCTCCCCTGGTCCCCTTCCCCCACCTGCCACCTCGCCTGCTGCCACTGCTGGCGGTGTGGGAGGTGGTGGTGGCGGCGGCAGACGAGTGGGGGGCAGCGGCTTGGAGAAGATGAAGGCAGCGAAGAGACCTGCCCAGAGGCGCCGGCAGGGCGGCATGAGGGGCGCACGCAGTGGGGCATGAGGGGCGCAGGCAGTGGGGCATGAGGGGCGCAGGCAGTGGGGCATGAGGGGCGCAGGCAGTGGGGCATGAGGGGCGCAGGCAGTGGGGCATGAGGGGCGCAGGCAGTGGGGCATGAGGGGCGCAGGCAGTGGGGCATGAGGGGCGCAGGCAGTGGGGCATGAGGGGCGCAGGCAGTGGGGCATGAGGGGCGCAGGCAGTGGGGCATGAGGGGCGCAGGCAGTGGGGCATGAGGGGCGCAGGCAGTGGGGCATGAGGGGCGCAGGCAGTGGGGCATGAGGGGCGCAGGCAGTGGGGCATGAGGGGCGCAGGCAGTGGGGCATGAGGGGCGCAGGCAGTGGGGCATGAGGGGCGCAGGCAGTGGGGCACGAGGGGCGCAGGCAGTGGGGCATGAGGGGCGCAGGCAGTGGGGCATGAGGGGCGCAGGCAGTGGGGCATGAGGGGCGCAGGCAGTGGGGCATGAGGGGCGCAGGCAGTGGGGCATGAGGGGCGCAGGCAGTGGGGCATGAGGGGCGCACTAGGAGGAAAACGCGAATGGTTGGTAAGCAAGTGCAAGGGAGGGCAGGGCTAAGGGCATTGAGCAGGGAGCACACGAATGTGGTGCACAGTGGCACGAATGTGGTGCACAGTGGCACGAATGTGGTGCACAGTGGCACGAATGTGGTGCACAGTGGCACGAATGTGGTGCACAGTGGCACGAATGTGGTGCACAGTGGCACGAATGTGGTGCACAGTGGCACGATTCCCGTGAATGCATGGGTGGGCGCCCGCTTGCCACCGTGTGTCACGGTGGATGGCAGCACAACAGGTCGCCAGCAGCACTCACTCAGCAGGTCGCCAGCAGCACTCACTCAGCAGGTCGCGTGCCGCCGCAGAGAGGCCGACGTGCACCGCAGCGTCCACAGGCCGCCCATCCGCCCCCTCGCCCGCTGCTGCACCCGCAGCAGCAGCAGCAGCAGCAGCAGCAGCAGCAGCGTCGCCACGCGGGTCAGGCATGGCGAGTAGCGCAGCGGGGCAGGTGTGCGCCAGCAGGCGCATGCTGGCAGGCGTCCTGCAGAGGGGGGGA